AACAGTGGCGTCAAATTTCCATGGAAGTCGCCTATACCCACGATGGGTGAAGAGGCGTCAAGTACAAGTACAAGTACTAAAAGGCTCTGGGATACATTCAAATATTTTATTATTATTATTTATTTTTATGTTATCTTTTGGGATTCCTTTTCATTATATGCTATTGCTTTATGTTTTGATATGCATCTAATTTAATGCAAAAGTTATTAAGCATTCTTCCTATCTTCACTATAAGCCATGTTTTACTTAAGGTTATTTAAAGAAGAAGAAATACAGAAAATAAAAGACCTAAATGAAGTTCAGATAAACATAAACTCATACCCTTGTGCCATGCACAGTATTTAGCATATAAAAGCAAAAAAAAAATTCCTTAATACTATAAAGAAAATATATAGTAACTTAGTATAATATACATTTTGTCGAATATTGTATCTGACTTTCCTACAATAACATCTGCATGACATATTTTGAATATATACAAAAGAAACAAATAAAACTTCTTTCTTATATAGCCAAATATCTCAGTGACATTTTGTTTACTCACAGTTTGAGGCATTGTGATTTAGTGCAGTTGCATGGCTTCTTTGATTTTGTGTCCCAGGAAGCACAAGGAAATCTAAACAAACACATGTTGCATCTAAACTATTATGAAGTATTTATGGAATAGTGCATATTAGAAAGATGACACCCACATAGTGATAAGGTAACAAGAAAAATATCATTGTTTCATTTCCAATTTTCCATTTAGTTTCTTCTTTTGGTATCCATGAATTCTATCTTTTTGGTAGAATAATTAAATTATAAGCAAAAATATTTATTATGTAATGATGTTTAAATTGTATTACTTTGCATTTTTATCTAGCAATTCCAAAACATATATTATTATATTGGGGAAAGTGCCCAAATATATTTAGTTCCAATGTATATAGTATTCTCATTGTTGATTATGTAACAGTATGATTCCTAAAATGAATTCTCCTTGCAAAATTTAACGAAGTATCTCAGAATGTAACCTTTTGTTCACTTGACTGAAATGAAATGCATACAGTATATCTCATTAGAAACTAGGTGTAGGAATCAATAAAATATATGTGCTATATAAAATGCTTTATTTAAAACAATTGTAAATAATAAGTATTTCAGTCTGCAGAGATAATTATATAAATGCCTAATTCATATGATGCCAGGGAAGTGTACATTTTTACAATTCTTACCCAACTAAAGTTAGTTTTGTTGGCTCCTGAAGAGTCAGATCTGAACTGCTTGTATGTATGGATCCATTATCAAGCTGCTCAAAATAAAATCCAAATATTCCATTTGCATTATATTAACATACATTTACACACTATATAATATTAATAACAATTAATAGTCTTAGAGAACATCATTTGAAAGAATTGATATTTTAAAACATTGCCTTCATAGCATACTGTCTTCTATTTATGTTACTACATATTGCACATTGCTGCTTAGGAGCAGCTCCAGATTGTTGAGCAGAACGCCAAAGATAAAAAAAATTATCTGCACATGCTGCTCAATAATACTACAAAATGTTGGAAATGTTTGAAAGAGTGAACAAATGAATAGGTGAAACAAAAGAAACTGTAGCAATGTAAAAAGAGTTGGAATAAAAAAGAAGGGAAAGAAGCAAAACAGAAAAATTATTTGATACATACTGTATGTTATAATTAAAACAAATAATGAATGAGGATGAAAGGAAAGAGAGCATAAAAAAGATTAAAGCCCAAGGAATGAGAGACTAGATAATTAATAGTAACCAGGTAAAGGGTAAGGATTAGAGTTGGCTCTATATTAGGCAGTATGACATGGTTGCCATTAGCTTGGCAAAATAAAATAATAAAATAAAATATTTATTATAGTCATAGAGCACCATAAATAACTTGACAGATACTGGATGGTAAGGGGATGTCATTTTCACGTTTTGGGAGGGAAAAGTCAGGGAGAAATTAACTTGCTCCAGATAAGGTTATTGGCTGGAGATAGCCATTCATGTGACGGGAAGGATACTAGCTCTTAAACAGGGTGGATCAGAAAAATCTCCAAACATTTTGCTGCTCAAGCACGATATATTATTTTTAGTATGAGTGTTGATAGATCCTATACTTTTCTGTACTCTAGCTGTTTTCCTCCCTCTGAATTATTCTGTTCAGTTTCATGAAACATGATAGTTGCCTCAGTATATCCTTACCCTGCAGTGGTAATCAAAGGCTCCACACAAGGGATGCCAACCATAATCTCTTAATATATGAAATTTATTTATTCATACAAATTTAGAAACTGCTGGATTCCAAACAATTCTGGGTGGCTTACAGTTCTCAGCATGGAAAGAAAAACCATGCTGTTGCTGGGAAGTTAATCTTAATTGCATTATTAAGCCTTTTGCAGAGAAAGTCTACAATAAAATTACAGAAAGGTGAATCCATGCAGCTGGGCAGACAATGACGAGATAATAAAATACAGAGATATCCTTTGCACAAAAAAGGGGCAACAACATATAGTATAAGATTGTAAGATTAAAAATACTTAGTTGAAGGAAAAGGAAAAAAATATACTTACCTCTTGAGTACAGGTATTCAGTTTACCTGCAACTGGCAAAAACTGCCCAAGTACAGATGTTACCGAGTTGCTTGCATCTAATAAGAAAGTGCTTATTGAATGACATTTGGCGCAACAATATCTTCAGTACATAACTGGGTAACAGATCTAGGTAACTAAGAATGAAGATTTTTGTTACAAAAAATAACTATATATTTATTTATGAAATAGAAGGATATATTTTAAAAGGATATGTATCCTACTCTGATAGGCAGAAATAGAAATGTCCTTCCTAGTGGAAGAACAATATTCTTACAAATTGAGATGTCAATAGCAACAAATAAATGTAGATAGAAAACTGGAAAAAATTGTTCCTACCTTTGAAACAAAACTAGAGAACAGATTGAAATAAAATAGGGAAAAGGCAAACAAAATAGATGATACTACTACAAAATAGGTCAGGCTGCTAATTGGCAGCTGAAGTTTTTTAAGTGGTCGTATGTTCCCACAAATGAATTTGCATGCCTATATATTGTACCATTGACAAAGCTCCAGACACGAGGGATTATTACTATTTTGCACAGTCAGTCAGACTGGATTTGGCATTTTTATTCTGTGCATCATGCAAATGGGAAAGTAGCAAGTTATATTTACTGGAGATGAGCCAGGCAATTGGATATTATACCGAAGAAAGCAAACCGAATAAAATAGCCAAATAAATCAATGTTAAGATAATGCAGTGAAATTTTTATTGGTTTCAAAGGTGGAGAGATCAAGGTAGAATCATGGTCTGAATAACATGAAATTTCATAAGAATGTAACATTTACATGGAGTATGAAACTTACTGTATCTATAAAAAGAGAAAAATGGGTGAAAGAATTGATCTTCACTGTTCCCAAGACAGTCACTGATGCGATAGTCCAAAGGAGTATCACCTTCAAAGACAGTAGATGAAACAGTAAAGTAATAAAAATCACTTTTGCCATCAAAGCAGAAAGTATCACAGAGACTAAGAAGGTCCAATGGATATACATGCAAAATCTTAAGAAATTTATGAAGGAATCATGTGAGATGCCATGAAAAAAATTGAAAATCTTTGCAACAGAAGGTGAGAACAAAAAGGGTGAAGAAACGGCTAATCTCATGGCATAAAAAGAAAGCAGAATCTTGACAAACTGTAACCCAGCATTAATTATTTTTAATATTGTACAAAAGCATACTGTCTATGAGTTCATTGATATAGGGATCATTTTTTTGGTGGAAGGATTCTGTAAAGTATGTTAAGAGGAGAGAGAAATCACAGATAAATTATTTTTGTGTGACTTCAGAGATCATAGAATTTAGATATCAAGCTTGATACTGGTGAATGAGAAATATTATGCAGGAGTGGGGAACTTTTTCAGGTATTTATACAAAAAGTCATGGGTGCTCAAGGCACAAAACATATAATAAACTAGCACGATGATTTTTGAACTAGAACTACAAATAATTAGTTGCATTTATAACAGACTACAGTATCTAGTATCTTGGAGATGAGTTATTGCATGGCCAATACCATAAAAAAATCTCTTTTTACGACCCTGTAATCACTGTTCCCTCTAAGGTGCGCGCGTGCGCGGCCGCGCACGTCGCTAGAAACCTCCGCGCAGAGCTTTCTAACTGCCGCGCAGAGCTTTCTAA